AGACTTGGCTTCATATTTTATATTCTCTAAGTTCATCTCCAAACCCTGAACTGAATTTTATGATCATTTACACATGTTCCTCTTTAAGCAGACATTCCTGAAATATGATGAAATCTTGCTTTTCATGAAGATAAATGTAGAGTTGGGGTGTGGCAGATCTTTAGGCGAAAAGGACAAACTCGGTTTGGGCTGCTGGTGCGATACTGCCCCCTTCTGGAAGCAAGAAGCTATCACAATAGAAAATGAGAGAAGTCTCACTTCAAATGTTTAAATTTAAGTTATGCCCCTGGTAAGCACCTATATACATATACTTTTAGCAATCAAAAGAGCAGTGTGTGCCAATTATTACTGAGAAGCATATGAATCATCTTCAATATTTCTTTTTGTTACATTTTAAAGAAAAACAGAGAATTATTTAACTTTTGCAAAATGATATCAGGTCTACATTGTCTTATCTTTTAGGGGATAAATAATTTTCAATAATAAAAAAAAATAATAATAATACAAATACTATATTTCTGTCTCCCTATTTGGCAATACTCAGATAAGATTTCAATTAGGGTGTGTAATTCCTGAAGAATAATTCACAAGATGTTCCATAAAATCTCCACATTTTGGTGCTTGATTACCTAAATACTTTAGTTTATTTACATGTTAAAAATTATTATGTAATGGAAACTCTATTACATTTTTTTCCTAGCTTTCTCTATTGATATTGTTTTAACCAATAATGTGCTACTAATACTGAATAAATATGCTCTGTAATCGGATGGAAAAACATTTAAAGGGTCTTTTAAGGTTCAGTTTTTTGGGTTCATCTGAAATTTATACTGTTTCCCCCAATATGCAGTACTTAGAAAAAGCTTAATTCAATACAAATTTACAGCATAAATATTTCAAATACTAAATATAAACAGAGTCTTTGCTGATTCATTTCACTCTACATGACTTGGCTTTGTGTATTTTTATTTTCCACTGCAAGGATCGAGTGTTTATTGCAGCAGCGTCATAAAAATACCCAGCTGTTAGACACTAAATTCAGGAGAGTTAAGAAACTTTCCATCTGCATTAAAATGTTTGACATCCTTTCAGATTAAAAAAAGCTCCACAAATTAGTCTATCAATAAATAAAAATCCCTAACGGGGCTTCTAGAGCAAGGGTGTCCAAAGTGGGTCCTGGAGGGCCGGCATCCTGCATGTTTTCTCCCTGGTTTTACACACCTGCATCAAATAATGGCTCATTAGAGGCCTAAGCAGAACACTGACTTGATGAGGAGGCTGTTACAACCACTAGGGAAAGAACTAAAACATGCAGCATGCCGGCCCTCCAGGACCCACTTTGGACACCCCTGCTCTAGAGTTTTCTTTCTGTTATCTAAAAAATATGTTTAAATTGGATCTAAATGTGAGGAAATTATGCAAAAGATTTTCAGCACGTTCATAAAAACCTGAAAATCTGCTGCAGCCTGACTTAGCAGCTTATCAAAGTATGTATGCTAAACAATCAGATACGTAGAAAAGCCAACCTGAAGCAATATTGACTTAAAGCTACAAAGCTTTGAAGTGAAAGGGAGATTTTATGAAGTACTGAAGGTGTCTGTGCAGAGACTGTATGAAATACTTCAGAGAAGTTCATTTTTATGCCATTAGCCTTTCAAGCGTCGAGTCTCTTTGATCAGTTTGGTTTTGACTCAACTGACTCAAACCTTCGGCTGTTTTGATGTTAAAAGAAGAATTTGCAAAGAGAAAAACAAACAACTCAAGTAAAATTCCTCTGTTTCTTGCTTCAGTTTTGCACTTTGAAAGTTATAAACCCAGATTTTGGTAGCAACTTTTATCCTCTCTGCTCTCACAACTGGAACACTTTAAATTTAAGAACTGTGGAGTTTTTACTTTATTTTCCTGACATATAAACCACTGTGTAGCCCGGCCAACACGGTGGATAAATGTCGCAGACCGAAGAGAAAGCAACGCCAGATCAGCAACACCAGCAACCAAACTGGAATCACAGCAATTCCACTGAAAATTCAAAAATATTTTACTGATCCCAAAGGGAAATGACGTATTATTACAGCCTCTCCAATGTTGATCAGCTGCTCCCTGTTGTAAAACACCCTGTTGCTATGGCTACGCATCACCACAAAACAGCAAAGTGTGAAAAATATTGCGGTCCAAACTACACAAGAATAAGCAGTTGTCCAAAAAAAAGAAAAAACATATTTTTTCTCCCTAGAAAGGCAGGAATGAAGTTTTGAAAACTAAAAAAATAAAAATCTCAACCAAAGTACAGAGCTGCGATCCAGAGCGGGTGAACAGGTTTCCTGCTCTTCAGCAAGACTCCAAACTCAGCGAACGGCTCTAACTTTTTCTGCAATAGGAAAAAGTTAAAGCCAAGGTACTTAGCTTTCCCAATTATATGGTGTCTAAAATATCTGATGATCATGAATGAACGTCCAGCAGAGGCCTCAGCAGGTCTGTAGTCTGGAAGAAAAGCCAACGTCTTCTCCTCCATCACCCAGTCTCAGACTTTCTCATCATTTACTGCCATCCAGTGTTTCTTCTCACATACAGATACTCTCACCAACGCAGACATTTGTAAGTGAAGTGGGTCAGAGGGCGGTGGAGATGAATGGAGGCCTGAATAGACGGACGGAGAGATGAATGGATGGTGGGATGAATGAATCAGTGGGTGGATGGATGAACGAAGGAGAAGAAGATGTAAAGAGGTCAAAGAGGCTCAGACTGGCTGCAGTCCAACTCCAGCCAAAAGCGACATCTCTTCTAGTCCGTTGAGAGGAACAAGAAAGAACACGACGACAGACGATTACTGAAGCTAAACCTCCTAAACATCGAAAACGCTCAGAGCGACGGGACGTTTCGTTTCTGTCGGTGGATTGTGAAGGAAACAAGGATTTTTTTTCTCTCCAATAAAGCCTTAAGAAAAGTGTCTCTTCATTTACAGAAAGAAATGGAAGTAGTTAGTTTGTTTAGCTCCATCCGTTCATTTTCCAGACCCATTTGGTTGTGAAGTATTGGTACCAATATTCAGTCATCATTGGGCAAGAACTCATGCAAAGAGGATTTGAAGCTCATGCTCAAAGGTGACAATGATAACAACTGTGTCGTCTTGCAGCACGTTTAGTGCCTGATAATTTACTTAAGATTTCATTATTAAATTCCACCATGAGACAAAAACAGGCACATTGTGCCTCGGTTGTTATAAAATTGCAAGATATATCAAACATGCCTTAAAAGAAATTTGACTTTGATTTGAAATTGGGCCTCTGTCTCTTTAAAAACTCCTGCTCTTTCTGAAGCTCCGCCTTCAGGAAGTCTTCACAACATGGCTCCTATATTAACCCGTTAGCAACATTTTTACCAGCGTTTCACTGAGAAGTAGCTCCAATAACGAGCTCAGCAGAGTTTCAGCTCCACCAGGTGTTTGCTAAATGTGGCTGGCTAGTCTGAAGGAGCTGAGTGGGGGCGGGGCTGCATCTTAAAGGCGGAGCTACATCCACCCAGGCATTTTGCACGCTGTCTGGTTGCCATGGGAGACTAAAGGATTTCTCAAACATTGAATGAAAGAATCAGAGCAACACTCCAGTATATTTTTGGTAAACATTATAACATGACGTAAAGCTCAAAAACTTTGATTTTATATAACCTTCCCCTTTAAAGGACAGGGATACGTGTGTGTGTGTGTGTGTGTGTGTGTGTGTGTGTGTTGCTCCAAGAAGTTGCCAAGGTGGGGGTTGACGGGGGGGTAAAAGGGTTGTTAAGGTTAGAGAGTTCATTCTCAGAGTCTTTCTCATGGTGATTACATTGGCAGCTTAAACTGGTAACAGGACAAATGGTCATACACACACACACACACAAAATACAGCTTAGAACACACTGTCCTGCACACTTGTCATACATGCAAAATGCATGATAACATTCCTCTCCAACATTCCACTTAAATGTTTGTTCAAGAACAGCCTGAGACTCAGAATGAACTGAATATTGAATATTGGTAAATTTCCTTCTATCCCACAAAACTAAGGATTAGGATGATGGCAAGGAGGCATTCCAGCATGAAAGACTTGGAGTTCAACACTGAAGGTAGATCATCAAAATACCAGCGCTAACAGCTAAAAGCTAGCCAGCAGTTTAAGAACGGTTTGATTCGCTCTAATACCAACCAATATTTTTCCATTGATTATTAAAAAGGGTGTGAATAATCTCTGACAGACCGTTTCTTAATTAAAATCTAAATTCATCTCTCATTTTGTATCAAGACACAAAGTCTTTTTAAAATGAATATAATTCTAGATGTAAGATTTAATTTGGGCTTAATTGTAAATGATAAAGAAAAAACATTGTTTGGTAGAATTTCAGCTATTTTCTTCTACAGGAAACTGCTGTTACAAAACTATTGCCAATTTATTTTTTTTTATTTCAATTTTAAAATGTGCAGCATTTTTAGTAAATGTTTGATCCATTAAAAACAGGTTAAATGGGTGATAAAAGAAATAAGCAGATAAAAAAACAAATTAACAGCATCTGAAAATCAAAACTTCAGACAACATAAAAATATTATTTTTTCTTTATTTGTTGCATAGCAGGTTTGAAACCAACAACCTATTAGGAGTCATCTTTTTTGCACAAATGTCATTTTTTGGACTTTTTTTATGGGAATTTTGTCATTTAGATACTAAGAATAATTGAATTTTCCACAAACATGTTGGAATTACCCAACAGGAAAATGTGTAAATTGGTAAATACGTGAATAATGAATTTTGAACATGCAGGAGTCTAATATATGCATGTTACCATGTGGATACTTACTTTGCAAAAAGCATCACTAGTCAATATCTTTGTTTACTCCAGCAAAAATCTGAAAATGTTGCTAAATCTGTGCTTGCCTTACATTTATTTACAAATATGTGAGATGTAGGAGAATGCAGTTGTAAAAATAGTGATAGATGCTTAAAACAAAAGACAGAATACAACCAACATACCTTTCTACAACATCTTCACCACTCCAGCATGTGTGCTGCTCAACCTCCATTTCACTTTCACAAAGCATTTCTGGCAGCTCAGACAAAAACCACCGGTACCGCTGGATGGAGATCTCAAATTCCCTAAAAGAAAAATTACACATTTTGGTGCAAAATCATGCAGACAACGATGATCAGTTTGACAAATCTAATCCAGTTTATCGACTTGATTGAAAATATTTAACCAAAAGAAGAACTAAACTACTAGATTAAAAACAAAAACAGCTAAAATAGCTAGCTAAAAAAAACCTTTTAAAAGTTACAAATTTGATCACTTATCTAAACATAAACACCTTACCTTGATAGTTTTTTCAGGCTTCGACTTTTGTCTCCTTTAGCACCCTTAAGAGGGAATGACCTGCAGCGAAGAAAGGCAAAATTCAGAACAAAATATTTCATGTCTTTCCTCTTACCTAGCTGTAATTTTAGCGAGAAATAAAGTATTGCCTTTAAAGAGTATTAAGTTCCCTTAGACATTTTCCCAAGTTACTCCCCTGAAATTCATCATGTTTTAATGGAATTTTATGCTAAATAATCTATCATATAAAACATAATTATGGTGGCCAGAGAATGTAACACAAAGATGTTTTTTTTTCTTTTTCAGAAATGACACATTTTGGTCAAGGTAAACAAACAGCATCATAAATACCAGACAGGAACACACCAGACAGCAATATGTGAATGTACGCCATACTTTAAAGATTTTTATTAGTAGAAATATCACACATTATTACATAAAACCTCTAGAGAATTAATTTAAATGTGTGGAAGTAGTCTAAAGAAGCTTAAAAGTGTATTTCATGCTTTTGGGAGGTGCTGGACGTAACTTACTTCTGGGGATGCGACTGCAAATGGCGATGAGGTGAAGCAGGCAGAATTACCGCCGACGCCTTCGAGGCGAGTAGCGTTGCCCGGGTTACAGGGTGTATTTGGGATGACTTCGTATCCGTCAGCATGAAACCAGGTTCCTGCGGCCCACAAACCTTCTCCACCTGCAGAGGAGCAGACAGTTTGCATGGGGAGAGCTGATCTATCTTCAAGAAGAAAAAAACAATACCGTTTCTAAAAATATTTTCAATTAAAAAAAATGAATAAATAAGAAGCAGCATGTACCAACTTGCTACTGCTTTTTCAGATTATAATTTTTGTCTTTTAAATTAAGTTTAACTTGACTATTTCTTTTTTTTATTTATCTTTGCCTACTTTCCATGTGAAGTTTTATAAAAGTTATCACCAATTTTCTTTTAAGATACATACTATAAGAAGAAACTATAACTGCAAAACCCAAGGCAACAAAAAATCCAAAGCAACAAAAATTAGCTTCATAAAAAAGTGTAAATGTTAGGAATGAATTAGCCAAAGTTACAATTAATCTGAAAGAAAATCGTGGTCATCTGAAGAGAATTAATAATCTAGTTGTTTTAGTTTAATTAAAAACCTTGTCATCTTTTCGAAAGCATTTAATGTATACATTTTTACATTAAACAAAAAAGTTTCCTCTTTTATATATTTATTTCTTGAATGTCTATTGAATCCAAAGCCAAATTGAAGTCAGATTATTTGCACAAACCTAGCGAACAGAGCTGTTTCTGATATTATCAAGTGAATATCTAGCATTATGTTAGCATTTCACTCATAAAAGTGTGCACACTTACGGGTACTCGGCTATTTCAGCTATCCACAGGGGAAAAATTTAAACCCCATTTGGTTGATATTTGAATCCAGAATCTTCAAGGCAACAGCTGCTGCGTCTCCATTACAAATGTGCGCAAAACTTTGCCATTACTCCGCTAATGTCTAAAAAAAATACAATTTTATAGCGTGAACGTTTTTAAATGGAACGTTACGGTGGTTATATTTACCAATTAAAATCACACGTTAATAAGTGTGATAAATCATTAAAAAAACTAAGCCGAGCAACGATATTCCAATTACTTCCTGTCGTTTTATTCTTCGTGGGTTACGCTAGTGGCAACATCCGGTTGTTGATCATGTGACTCGTGTGATGCTGAAAAAGTGTTTCCTTTGCAGTTTTGCGAAATAAACCAATTTCAAAACGACCAAAACTATTTCGTTTTTGTTTTTTTTCTAAATTGCAGTGTTTCTATGAAGCAAATTCATTTTCCTTATTTCATTTTGCGCATGTGGTGAATGGAAACGCAGCTGGTGGCTGTTATACTATTATTGTGATTAAAATGTTTCCTTCTGACAGAGTTGTTCGATGTTCAGTTAAATTAGTTCATTGTCGCATTAAAGGTGAAAAAGTTTTTAAATTATTTACCACCACGGTATTTTGTCCCATATATTGGCAATTCAAAGCAGATGCATACTAGTAATGGGAATTTCGGCTCTTTTCAGAGACTCTTTTCTTGTGGCTCGGCTCCCAAATAAGAGCCGGTCCGGCTCTTTCGGCTCCCAAACGATTCTCTTAGCACAACTTGGAAAATAGGAACGTTTTGCATGATAAATCCTTTTGCATTTAATGTTCCCTATGTGACAAGCACTATGGTTAATTAAGGCTTTTATGAAAACACTCATTCTTACTTTTTGTATAATATTGTAATCAAAATTTTAATGAACAAAAACAAATGAACAATGCACATAACACACACACTTTCTCCAGAAATGACAGTGGATATTCAATGAAGTGGTATTTCATTCTATGGCACAATTAGCTGTGTGCTTATGCTTGTGTATGTTTGTTTACTTCTCAGGAATCTACTCTACTGAGTCTTTCATAGTTGGATGGTGACTCTATCTTTTCCTCCAACAGTGTGTGTGTGTGTGTGTGTGTGTGTGTGTGAGTGTGAGTGTGAGTGCACTCTCCTGCCTCTGTTTTTGTGCCGTCTGTTTGTCCACAGATTAGCCACAGAAACTTTCTCATCACTCAGAACCAAGCAGCATTCTGGGTATCGGTTGTCCCGCCAACGACGGTCTTTGTCTGGCACTAGATCTGTATTCACACTCACACGTTTCTGCGAACACACGCAGACTGAGGGGAACCCCAGAATCCCTGAAGAATGAGGCTGTTTTTAGCCCATCTAGGTACAAGCAGATCCAACTGCCAGGCTGAAAGAAACCCACGGTCGTTCTCAGTCTGTGTCCGACATTCAAATGACTCTATTATTAAGTTAATTTAAGCTGGAGTTATTTCAAATTTAAAATATAATATCTCTTAAATATTTACAGGAGAATGATGACATGTCCAAATAATTTTCAGTGGAAAAAAAATCCCAGCTTTGTTTTGTTTTGTTTTTTCCCAACCTTTTATTGCAAAAAGAAACTCAAACCCAATTGTATTCTTACTGTAGCTGTGATTCGTGGACCGTGAAGTTGTGCGTGTAGTATTGCATCATTCACATGGTTTCGAACTGCCAGCAGAGCTAGCTCCATACTGTTGTGGTTGCTGCTGGTTGCTAAAGTAGCAGCTAACCTTTGGAGCAATACCACCAAGCGTCCCCAGGGGGCACCAAGCTCAGAAACACCCACCTGCAATTAGGGAAGCAAGAAGACAGACATAAAAAATAAAATAAACCTACTAGTTATTAACAAAATAACTTGGCAACTATATATATCGCAACAGACAAGTGATCAATCAATCAAATTTAATTTGTATAGCACCTTTCAGCAACAAGGCATTTCAAAGTGCTTTACAAAAATACAAAGTATTAGAACATACAGTTAACAACATTACATTTTTCATATCAGATTATTGATTAATGTGTCGTGATTAAGTTTCAAAACCAACTCTAACCAGCAGGGTTCTTAGTCTAGATTTAAAAGAACTCCCTGTTTCAGCTGTTTTGCAGTTTTCTGGAAGTTTGTTCCAGATTTGTAATGCATAGAAGCTGAATGCTGCTTCTATTATCTAGTGATCAATATCAATACATAATACATTTGATAGAATGCTCAATATTCAATTTATAGAATATTCACAGAACTCTGAGCCGAAACCGCACAGCATTCTGGGGAATGTAGGCAGAGGAAAGGCTTTTAGCCTCTTAACGGCCAGCTAAGCATAAACTAACTCACTCTGTGGTTACCTAGCAACAACTTGTTGAGTAACCTGTGGTTACCTAGCAACAACTTGTTGAGTAACTTGTGGTTACCTAGCAACAACTTGTTGAGTAACTTGCCAGCAGCAATTTAAGATTTTGCTACTGTGCCTCATAACTCCTTAAAAATAAAATAACAGAATGAAGTGAAAACTCCAGATAAAAGAGGAGAGGTCACAGTACCAGTTTGGCATTATTTCAGATATTTAAAACAAAAAGAAGCAATTAATAATGACCTATTTCGACTGAAATGAAACTATCATATGTTTCTCAGCCATATTGCGTACATGCATACTTTTTTGACTCTAGTGTTAACATTTTTAGTAGACATCAAATAAGAACTAACTTAAAAGTAACTTTTCAGCAACAAATAGGAACTTGTTTTAGGTAAATGATTTCTTGAAATTGGCAAAAAAAAAAAAAATGTAGTTCCACTCGCAGATTATTTAACTTATAACATGGAAAATGTCTTGCTATAAGTGAAAGAATCTGCCAGTGACACTAGCACTTTTAAATCAATATTTATGAATTATTTACCATAACATATGATTACTGAATCAGTTAGCCACCTGTAAAATAGAAACATCAAGATCCTGTTTACCGTATTTGTTCCTTTTTTTTCTTTAAAATAACCAAATAGCCATGTTGAGAGATATCAGACGTTCTTTTCTTTCCGAACAACCTTTTTCTTCTTCTGTGGTGGCTATAGTGCGATATCCAGCAGATTTTGAAGGGGATTATATTCCTGTGTTTCAAACTAAGAAGCCTCCACAAAAGCATTGAGACACCTACCAGACATCCTTTCATGACATTGTGGCACAGTCCAGTGCAGGGCCGTAACAGCGTTAGACCTCTACAGTGCGAACAGTACTGCATCTTTACTAATCCCCTTCCACACTCCCTGGATAAGGTCAACTTCTCTGTTGAATTCACAACTTCTCCTGCCAGCCTCAGCAGCCGGCTCAGCGCCCGACCGGGTCCGAGAGCGCGAGACAGGCTGCCGACGAGCAGCCGAGGATGGGGTCCGAAGGGGCTCACATCCTGCTGTGTCATCCGCAGACATTCGTCGTGATTGGATAAGAAGGATAAATGGGATGTTGCCGATGGACGGCCAATCCCAGGGTTGAGCAGGCGGCGGTACACCAGCGGGAAGAGGTCGTTGTAAAATCGGCGCACTGCGTTGTTCAGGGAGGAGTTAGCGTCTCCTGAAAGGTGGCGTCTGATGTCGGAAAACAGCTGGAACACAGGAAGCCGGCAGTCTGATGCGAGAGCGGAGTAGGCGCTGTCAAACAGACTGCATGTCAGGTTCGATGTGAAGGACACGAGTGACTCAAAGGTTTCTGGAAGACAGACAAAAAGATCAGGTACAATGAACCGTGGCTACTTCTAGCTACATCTGACAACATTTTAGAAAGTATATTACCATGGTAACATACCATGTTACCACGGTAACATGGTATGTTACCATGTTATGTTATCCTATGAAGGATAGGAGAACAAACCTTCTCCTATCCTTCCGACTGAAATCTAACTTTCACTGCAAAGACACAAAATCTGACAAAGCATTTTGACTAGTTTCTAAGTGCAAATATTTCAGTACACATCAAATAAGACAAAACTAACTAAAAGTAAATTTTCAGCTAGATATAGGAGTTTGTTTTAGGTCAATTATTTCTTAATACTGTTTCTAAGAAGCAGTATTAAGAAATAATACTGCTAAGAAATAATAAAATAATCTGCCAGCTCCACTGGCAGATTATTTTATTTATTTCATTAGTAAAATAATCAGTCAATGAAACTAGCATTTTTAATCAATGTTAAGTCATTATTTACCTAAAAAAACAGCTCTTATATTTTGCTAAAAAAGATACTTGTAAGTTTGTTTTGTCTTATTTCAAGACTAATCATATATTTGCACTAGAAACTAGAGTCTAGACTAAAAATACTTGGTAAGATTTTCTGTTTTTACAGTCTTCTCGCCAAAATATGATCTCTTAAATCTAGTAAGTGTCTAAGAATAATTCAGATTAGTGTTAAACTACTCAGTTAAGCATAAACTAACTTAAGACTCTATCACCTCGCCTCATAGCTGCTTAAAAATGAAAAACAAAACAAAACTGAATGAAGTAAAAAGTATCGATAAAAGAGGAAAAGGTCACGCTACCAGTTTGGTAGGATTTCAGATATTTAAAACAAACAAAAAACAATCAATAATTATGGATATATATCGACTGATCGGAAACTCGTTTGATTCAGATTAATCTGAATTAGTTCAGATTCTTTCCAAATTCTTCTGGGTTTTAAACATAAATGTCCGCAGTAACAGGTACAGCGTTCTTTGAGTTATTTTGTGTTTTATTCTTAGATATTTTGGTGCAAGCTAATCTTATTTAGCTGAATGCTAATTTGGCATCATTCCAAATTAATCCAGACAAACGTGACTTTTAAGCCAGTTATTGTGACAAGATTACATACTTTTATTGGTCGTTGTTTCTATTATTATTTGTTCCATTTATTGTTTTACTTTTTGATAGTTTTACTAGTTTTAATAGATTATTGAGATAACTAGCTTAGTGAGTTTGTTGATTAAAGTATTTTTGTTGATAAATTCTTATATTTTGGACAGAAGTTGTCTATATTTGTGACCAGAGCCTTGCTGATTGAGAAAGTCAGTGCTAAACTTAATCCTGCATCTACTGTTATTTAATACCAAACCTTATGAGACTGAAATCTATTTTCGCAATCATTTCCTGGTAATCAGGTGACCCAACTTGGTCATTTTGATCTAAATGACTAATAGTGTTGATAATTGCCACTAATTACTTTATAGTCAAACGAACCCTATTGTTACAAAACATCCTTAATATCACTTTTCATAAAAAATTAGGAATATACAAATCCCGTCTGTAACACAAAATAGTTCCGTATTGAACTTACACAGTTCCTAACAAATATAAATACAGAAAAAGTACAAAGATGAGTCATGGACACAAACCCTTTGGAAAATGGACTGGACTCTTTGAGTCATACCCTCACTTAATTGTGTAAAGATCTAGTAAGCTTAAAGAGAGGTTGTGCAGAGATGTAAAATACTTCCATTCAATAAAAAATAAAAAAAAGAAACATTAATTTTTGAACAGCAATTTTTCAAAAACACGGCCCTGTCCTAACCGACCTTGGACTGACTTCATTCTCTTGCATGTGAGCAAGAATAGCCCAAACTTAATTCATCCTTGAGCTCGTTTTCACTACCCTGTTATCTTTAGTCAGGTGATAATGAGAGGCCGTCTCGTGATTCACCATGTTTCCTATGTCAATAAAAAGAGCAACCGCCACTTTCCAAAGGCTACATGTCCATGATGACAGACGATGTGTGTATTTGAAAGATGATTTCAGTCTGAAGACATCCTAACACACAAACACTAAAAGAGACGCTTATTTAACTCTGACTTTCACCAGGTTATCCTCTCTCTCTCTGTGTTCATGGCTCTGTGTTTCAGAATCACAGCTGCCATTGCATGAATGTCCAAGGGACTCGTTAGGAAATTCACTGGATAAGTACGAACTTAGTTAATAATTACTGAATGCAATAGCAATGCTTCTTCAGATGGCTGGCTGTTGAAGAGCATGCTTGGGCCAGCAGTGGCGGTGCTCTTTAAAGGGAAACAGACTAAGCGAGAGCGACCAGCTTTTATGTTTTCGCATACCCACTCCCGGGCGATGGCAGCCCAAATACATATGGCATCAAATTACATTGCAAAGTCTTCCCCATGGGGACATGTGATTAGCTTTTTACTCTTTCTGATTGGACGACAGCTGGGCACAAGGGTCTTAGAGTGCCAGGAGAAACACACGCAAGCATGGTGTGTGCATATTTGCACACACCAAAGAGACCCACAAGAAATAAAGAAAGCCTCTCTACAAGTGGGGCATGTCTCAGTTTCTCCAGTGGGTTATAATCACTTCTCTCAAGAGAGGAGATCTGCTCAGACTCAACTCAGCTGTTGAGGAACGTTACAGTGCTGCTGATTTAGTTTATTTCATTAAAATAGATGACAAATGTAAGGCAAAATATTTGAATATTTAGATTTAATTCATTTTTTTGCTGTAAAAATATGAGTGACTGCTAAACTAATCACACTCAATGAACGTTTTCACATATTCCTCACATCAGGAGAAACTCATGAAAGAAACAAAACTTCTAGATCTAAGCATATTTATGGGTAATAATAGCCTATTTAAAGTTCAAACCCAATCAAATCAACAATCTGTGGCAAAGCAATTCATCCAATCTAAGATATTTTACTGAATAAAAGAGGATTTCTTCAAAATATCGACTGCAAAGGGCTCAATATAAATATGCATGCCACACTTTTCAGATTTTCATGTCGGATAATATCAAAAAATAACTAAAGTAATGCACTAAATGTCCAGCGGGTATGACAGCTGCAGAGTTTACTAATAAAGCATTGTCTTCAAAAGTCTACTGTTTCTAAAATGTACAGGAATTATACTTTTTTACTCTGACAAACCTTCTGTAGCCATAAAAAAAACTACATTAATTTCTGTTGTTGCTAAAAGTTTCAAACATTTTCTCCAAACTTTCTGTGTTCAGTGCTGCCTCCTTTGGTCTTGTTTAGTCCTTCTTTGTGTATGGGTGTTCGCATTAATTATACCCATGGATGGCTAAGCCATCCTTTGGGCGTAAATAGCAGCTGGAACTGAGCCTGCCTGTATTCAGATGGAGGAGGCGGGATGTGATGCAGGATGGCAAAAACCAAAACAAAACAAAACAAAACATGTTTGTCATGTACGCCATCAATAAGCCCAATCTAATAATCTCCACACAGCTCGACACATCTATGCACAAAATCACATAAAGTCTCACAACCTCTTTTTTTTCACACACGCTTTGCTCACACACGGTGGTGAATGGTGTTGAGAGACAAGTGGACAAGCAGAGTATTCTTCCTCCTATTCAGAGCAGCCCGTTAGAGACCAGCTGTTGCCCACGGCAACAACACTTTGCTGCGGATACGTACTGAATGTAAACATTCTTCGTCCCTCGCTATCTCACTGGTCGAGAACAAAACGCGATTATCAAAGACGGACGGAGAAAGGGAGCTGGGTGTTGTAGCAAAGTTTTCCGCTGCTCCCTGTGAGAGTTCGCTGCCTCAAAAACTCAATCGAACATCGGTTGTTTGTTTGGCTAGCCACCGAGGCGCCTCACTAAATAAACTGACACAAACTGGCTATTTCATGACGAACACACAAAGTGAGGATGACAGGCGGGGGCCGGGGCTCTGCACAGAACGGCTCAGCTCTTGAAACTGCTATTGTGACCACTTTGGTTTCAGGGTCATGAAGCAGAAATTATATCAGTTTGACAAATTAATTGAATGAATGCATTTTTATTTTTCTTTCTTGGACCTTTTTTAAAAAAAAAAATGATTTCAGGAGAAGAACAGCAATATAGTGAGTGAGATGTGTGTCTCTTTAAGGCTAATTGTTATTGTATCATTTTTTTATTTATTATTTAGTTACCTATTTTTAATTTTTATAGTGTGTCACGCTGCGAAAATAAAATTTGGGGATCAATAAAGTATTATCTATCTATCTATCTATCTATCTATCTATCTATCTATCTATCTATCTATCTATCTATCTATCTATCTATCTATCTATCTATCTATCTATCTAGAAAAGTGCATGTTCAACCTGTCGGATGTTTTATGCTTTTTATTACTTTTTCCAATCAAACATGATCAATAAAATTGTGGGGGGGGTCAATACTATTATTACTTTTTATTTATTTATTTTTTTTTTACCAAAAACTAACAAAACAAACAAAAAGAACCCCTGCAATGTTAAACTGAAATCTGTTTTCTACAAAATAATGGCAAAAACACTGTAAAAACACAAAATCTTACCAAGTATTTTTGGTTTAGTTTCTAGTACAAATACATTTGTACACTTGAAATAACATAAAATTAACTTACAAGTCACTTTTCAGCTAAATATAGCAGCTTGTAGCTTGTTTTAAGTCAATATTTTCTTAATATTGATTAAAAAAAAGTATAATCTGCCAGTGGAACAAGACATTTTCCATTGATCTCCATGCTGTTTTCACTTGATTTGAGAAAATGTGAAAACTTTCAATACTTTTTTGAGACACAAATAATTATTTACCATCCACGCCACTTCCCTGCTCTTTCACCCTCCTACCTTGGAAGGCCTTTCCATGTCCATCAATCAGGTATTTGAGTTCGAAGCTGTAGGATCGCATCTTGTGCTGCATCTCGCTACGAACAGCTGCCATGTAGCTGTCCTCCATTTTACTCGTGCAGCAGCTGGGCCCAGCATGCACACACACTCTCAGCGGCTCCCCTAAAAGGATAAATGATGGATAAATAAGGTACTGATTCAATCCAGCATGAAGTCATAAAATAAAAACAGAGGAACACTGTTAGCACTTTGACCACCGCATTAGTTATAAGGCTAATTCTTGTTGATTTGTCAGTCACTTCAGTGCTTCACCAAACTAATTGCATAGTGATCCCTTCGGGAGCCGACAGGATGACAAGAGCAGTGGTAAACTTCTCACACTCATGCCAATCCCTGCGGTGTGCATGGACTGTTGCGTCTTTGTGCATGTGTCCCCATTGAGCAGCCTGACATTTATATATGGCTGCAAACCAAGCTGTCAGGCAGCTGACTGAGATCAGGAGGGAAAGAGACATCAGAGGAGCAGACGGCTGCACTGTAAAACATTCCAGCCACATTTAGCTGTCTATCTTCTATTCTCTAAGTCAACTTGGATTTGTGAAAAATAGACTTACAGTAGTAAGTTGTATTAACCTTTTATTAATTTTATCAAACCTAAAATTGAGTTTGAAAAAGACAAGAGTGCAAACTATTTCCCAGAATGCTTAGCGGCATGTCTTTGTATCCTGAGATGGAAGTGCGTTACATTGACCTGACTCTTGTGTTATTAAGGAAAATGTTCATTTTAATGTTCTGTTCACACTAAATGTTTTTGAGCAGAATTCATTAAAACTCATTATCAGATCAGAAATTTGACTCATGTAATTTGAAACAAGAAATTAATAAAGTAAAATAAGTAGTTATTTTAACTTGATAATGTGAGTAAAAGTAATTATTTGGTTTAAATTGCAGCATTAAGTTAAAACTCACAATTCAAGATTAATGAACTTAAAAAACAATAGTTAAACTTCTCTCTTGTTGTTAAATCAACTTCATGAAGTTTAATTTCTGAGTTAAAACCAAAACAGTTTTCTTGTTGACTTAAATTGCATTTTCAAGGCAGCAGGTGGACTTTCATTTTCAAGTTAAACCACCTTCAGGTGTTTCCCAGTGTACTGCAGCATGCACTGACACCAGACATTACGCTATTCTTATTGCTCACAATGGACTGAATTAGTGAGGGGGTTGCTACTTATTGGTAACAGTACGTTGCATTTCCAGCTTGTAATTTGGAGAATGAGAACTTTTATAGAAAGTATTTTTTTACACATTTTTTTAAAACTGTCACTTTGTCCTGACTGTGTAAGATGAGACATAAAATCTGTGAAAATATTTCTCCTTTACACTTATTTCTTTGCAGTCAAATTGGGGGAAACCAATCTGTTCCACAGTTTGACCTGGCATCATGCCTTCGAGACAATACACTGGGCAAACCAGACCCACCTCTACCGGCAGCCTGTCAGACACACAAAAGGGCAAATTAACCCATGAGAGTCCACTGTGTGAAACAGATTCTTTTTAATGTAAAAACCTTGCAGAGAGGGGCCCCCCCACACGATGCTGCCCTGGGTGGTTGCCCATGTCGCCCAAATCAGCCACTGATTGAAAGAGTTACATACTGCAGCTTTAATGTGAAACAACCATTTCTGTTTAAAATGTATTTCTTACTGGTTTGTGTCTCATGTAATCTTCCAAAAGCACTACTGACACGTAAAATGCACTAAACTGGTGAAGATATGTAACTTCAGAAAAGTGTTCTAAGTAAAAAAAGAACAAAAAACAGTAAAAACTGGCTAAATAAGAGGCCTAGTCATTGAAAATGCAATTTTGAACCATTGAGCTGTCAGCTCCATCTGCTGTGTTAGATCTAAGTGACTCAAACTGTCACATAAGCACAATCGCTCTTCGAAAACGAGGAGGCTGCAAATGATCCACTTATAGCCCACGAAAAGATGGCTGACTTTTATGTCATAGTTTACTTTATAACACAGAGTTTGAGTTATCTAGCCAGCTCCAATAACTAATTGGTATCGCTTTTTAAACAGCACAAAAACATACCAATCTGGTCAAAACGCTTGTTCTTCCTGCTACGGTCACATAAAATAAGGTTTCTTCTGCTAAAAATACAAACTTTTCCCCTGTAGAGCTCCTCTCAATGCATCTGAAATGAAAAGAGTTTGGCTCAGAAAGAGAAATGTATTTGCTCTTTCATAGCTTTGCTAAATGACATCTATTAAGTTCAGATTAATAATAAAAAACATGTTTCAGACAATAACAGCAGACTGTCAAGCAGTGTTAGCATATTTAGCAGAGGTCAATGCCTTGATGATGCTGCGTTGTCACAGAACGCTTTGCAATGAGAGAAGAAAATATAAAGTACATTATCTTGTAATTTGGACTACAAACTGTATGCTACATAAAAGTAATGTAATATATTTTCTGTTTATAGATAACAAGGATGCTCCTGTGTTTTCTGGTAATAGATGGCAAATCCCGAAACGAATCCTGTGAACTGTTGGAGGATAAAAATAAACACGAAGAGGATTTTCGAGTTAAGTCGCTGCTGAATGAAATGGTGAGATCTGTGTCATTCACTCTGAGCACCAAATGGATCACATTTCCCAACGCAAAAAGACAGACGTCTGCGTAACACTAAATATAGTTTGTGGAGTCTGAAAAAAGCTCCAGCCATCATTTATATTTAAATCTGAGTATTGATGCTTCAGAGTTATTCCAGAAATATTCTTAATAGGATTCTTCCATTCGGAGTTTGCCTATTGTTTAAATTTTAAATAATTTTGAGGAAATTTTGGGGATATGTTTAAATTAGATAAATAATGTAAGAAAAAGGGAAGCGAGTTGTTTTATTGTTTTATATTTCTGTGAACATGAAAAAGTTTTAGATAAAAGAAATAAAAAGGTAGATGTAAAGATTTTATGCTACCACTATCTCTAAGGAATGTTTTTGTTATGTGTGTAATATGAATGTTTATTTTAAACAATATTCCAAATTTCCTCTGTTTTGTTCCAGATTGTCCAACACTGGTTTAAATATTTTCAGATCTGGAATCTGAAAAAGAAAATCTGTAGTTTGACTGGGATTTTTTATTTATTTTAAACAGATGGGAGCTTTCACAACAGTTGCAGTGTGTTTTGGAGTTCTGTCATTAAAAAAACTTAGATTACACTTTGACTAAAGATCAGATAATACTTCTGTTAGAGTCGTTCAAATTTTGAAAACATGACTGAAATATTGATATTGAATTTTGCAATTTCACCCATTTCCTTATAATTACTCCCTTTTCTTTGCCATCATTGCAGTGTCAGACGTCGTCAGTCTCCCTGGCCTTTATGACCTTTGTCACTATTTTCTATATTAGTTGCCGTAATAAAGACTTGAAAAACTATTTTTATTTATTTTCACCCCCTGTTCGACTATTTTGTGTAGATGTGTCAATTTACGTTTGTTTTCTTTTCTAGACTGGTTCGATCAAATATTAAATGGCACACAGCTGATTTAAGATCTTTGTATTTTGTGACTGATGCAAAATACGGAAGGACTCTCAAATATCATAAATGTTCTTATATGGAAAAAAAATAACACTTTTTTGGATTATTGAATCATGTAAAAACAAAGTTACTAGCTACTAAAAATTTGAGCTTGAATTATTTAAAGATGGATGAAATCTTAATAACTTAATAAACTTAGTAAGTAAATAAAATACTCTCTGACCGCACTAAGATACAACGTCTGCACTGAAAATAAATGCAAATAATTACAAATGTAAAGGAGTTATTTCTTAAAAAGGCTTTACAAATTACAAAACTATTAAAATTAAACAACTAAGTGAAATTGTGGAACAGATAAATTTGCATTTTTAGCTTTTCTGTGTGTCAAGCTGGAAATAAATTGGCCCCACTCATAACCCGTAACAGAAACAATAATTTATTAAAATCTGAGTTGGGTAGTTACATTTACTCAATTACATTTACTTGAGAAACTGTTTGGAAAATATGTAGTCTATACTACGCTGCACATTTTACTTTTACTTTAGTAGTTTTATTGTAAATAATTTCTATTCTAACTTGAGTAAAATTTCTGGATTTTCTACCCACTGAATGAAAAACAAACATGTTTTAACTAACATTCACCAGACACAGACAAACACCTGCAGTTTCATAAGTTTTATATTGAAAGAAACTGATTTGAAAAAAAATATTCTGCCTGATTGTGTTTTTTATTATTACGTGAATTATTGTCATTTTTGTCCTTAAAATAGCAAAATTTCCACTTTCCACTCTGCTATATTTTGGTCCATTTGATTATGTATTTTTGAAATATTAAATGATTAGTTACTCAGTACTTGAGCAGACTTTTTCACTCTTACTTGACTAATTTCTTGGACAGCTACTTTTTACTTTTACTTGAGTAAAAATATCTTGAAGTAGTGTTACTCTTACTTGAGTACAATTTTTAGGTACTCTGCTAATAAAATATAATATTTAATTCATAATACTCCACATGTTGTTTATTTTTTTAAAGCATCATGCGTTAAAAATAATAAATGACTTGAATACTATTGAGTGACTTACCTGTACCGGGTCTTTCTGGCACCAGTTGCACGGGGCCTATCTGGCGCATCATGTAGGCTATCTTCACCTCATGACAGCTGCCTGCATCGGCTGACCCACAGCCAGCCTCCGGAAAAAGTGCAAAACACAACATAATGACCCGAAACAAGTGCACGTTTTGTATGTCTGCGCGAAACATCGCAACATGTCAGTCGCACGGTGAAGTCCGGTCGGTTAATCTGAATTCCTGAGAGTCCCACCGGGTGAGAGTGAGTGAAAACTTCATCTGCAGTCGGTCTGCCCGGAGCCCACTGTCAGACTCCAGTGCCCCCCTCTCCTCCATCTGCTCCCTCCCCCGCTTCTAATACAACCACGACGTATTGAATTGGACAATAAAATAAAAATAAATAAAATCTATATAAATAAAATAAAAATAAAATACAATAAATATAATATAATAAATAATAAATAAATACAATCAATATTTATTAAAATAAATACATACAATAAAAATCTATATCATATCAACTATACTTATAAACTCTCTCTCTCTCTCTCTCTCTCTCCCTCTCTCTGTATATAGCTACTCCAATATTAAGTAGAACAACGCCATCAGACCACAGAGTGACCATTCGGTTTTTAAACATTACACAGGCTTCATTATCAACATTCATTTGCAAACTATAACTAAGCTCAATTGTAATGCAGAATTACAGGAAAGTTTCCCCGTGGAACAATGGCGCCACCTCCTGAGCAAGTTACGTCTAACGTGCTTACGTCATTACTAAACTCGAAATTTGTTAAACTTTCAGTCACCAAATGGCACTTTCAACAGTTTCTTTGGCTGAACATCCGTTTTATAAGGTAAGAATGTCTGAATGTCATTATTTTATCTATTTTCTATATAAGTCAGGAGAGTTTTTCTTAGTTCGTCTATTTCGAAGCTGTTATAGGTGAAAAAGCGATTCATGTTAGCACCGATAATAATTTAGGAAGAAGGCCACGTTTTTAAATTGTATAGCCCTTCTAGTCCTGATGGGGTTGTTTTAGTAACTCTGAAGTAAACAGCTTATCATTTTCGCTATCCCCGTGTACAAACTAACCCTTTTGGGTTAGTTTACAGGTACAAAGTGGATGAAGGAACTAGCTCAAAATGTAAAAATGTTAATAAATTGACCGTGACGCCTGGTGGTCCAATGGTGTAACATCAGTATTCATTTTAACATATAAAGTCGTGCAAAATTACATGTGTTTTCTTTCCGCCTGGAAAAAAAACAACGAGCCAGCCAGGAGTCGAACCTAGAATCTTCTGATCCGTAGTCAGACGCGTTATCCATTGCGCCACTGGCCCTGTATTATGTACACGGTCCAATTTCCGTAATGTACTTCAAAACGGAATCTGGTGACGTCACGAGATTGTTAAATATTTGGTTTCAAAAGTAGCTTGAAGAGCTATAATTCTTCACCTTCTGATAGTCTGATAGTGGGAATCCATTTATGTATCCGTTTATTTAATTCTAACGGTAACTTTTTAGGTACCGTCAGTAACTTTCGGCATGAAACCGTGGTTAAACCGCACATTTTGTGTGCAGTTCGTTTGGGTATACAGTCGGAAGATAAACTGTGAAATATGCAACAAAAGCGCCCTCTGCTGGTCGAGAAAGAGCAACCTCTTCCAAATCATACGTGGTAGAAAGAACCAATCACATTGCTTCCTGCTCCAAAGTTAAGAATGGAGCCAGCCAATTAAATTGCTCCTTTCTCGGCAGAAAGTGAAGGACAAGAGTTCGAGTCCTGCTAGAAACAGAGCAAACGCAGGACAGTCGCAATGTAAAATTACATTAGGAACAGTAATTCTTAATTGTAAAATGGAAAGTCCTAAGCATTTTAGAATTTTTTTTGTTCGTTTGATTACTATCTTAATCACATTAATGAAATTAATGTGAAATTTCATTAATTTAACTCTTAGTTACTCTTAGTGTTAGTTTAGTGTTCCTGATGAACGGAAGGGTTCAGTGAAAAGTTCTGGAATTCCAACCATATTGATTTCTTATTAATAAGAAATGGTGTTAGGCTGATTGGCGACGAGTACCAATTCTTCTTGAAACGTTGGTAAAATGCCCGATTGGTCCTCGTCTGTAATGTACGCTCTAAATTAAATGAAATTCTTCAAGAAAAAAAGTCATGCCCCGTGTGAGGCTCGAACTCACGACCTTCAGATTATGAGACTGACGCGCTGCCTACTGCGCCAACGAGGCCTGAAAACGCTATCTTTTTCAACTCCATTTGTGGATCGGCAGATGGAGTGTTTGGCGTACGGTTTTGTGATTTGGTGGCGCAAAATACTGTACACTATAAACAACTAGGTAAATAAATCCTAAAATGTTAATGTTACTCGTTGATTCAATTTGGTGATCTCATTTGCCCTTTATTCATTATTTTACATACGACCCTACAAGAGTCACCACGACTGATTATTGTGCCTAATATTCTGATGTTATTTTCGTCCGTCTTTATTTTTCGTGTCGTTTCCGTATTATTTTCCACGGTCACAAGGAGCAGCTTTATAATTGCTGCGGTCCCTTTAACTCCAATCTCCCGCGTTCCAACTTAAGCGGAAACAGAATAGCATTTTTTTCCCCTCTATTTAAGCGCGCCAACAAGGACCGTTCAAGTGGGTCTGTTTGGGTTCATCGGGTTCCACAGAGCAGGCTGCTGGCTTTTTTCTGTCATCTCGCTGGTCTTCGATTAAAATGCCGGAGGAAACGTCCACAGCGTCGGGTTCTGGAAGGTAAATTAATCGTTTGTAATTGTTTACTGCCGCCACAACAACACAAAAAATGGCTAGCGCGCTTTTAGCTTGTTCCGGCGGTAATGTTTACGGTATGACACGTAGCTGTTTAGTGGAGCGTGTTAATAGTATAGACCGTCTGTTAGGAAGACGGTATATTTTTTCTCGGTGAAGTGATATTTTGTTCTTAACGCCATCGCCGTTATCACTTAGCACTCTTCGGCTAACTGGCTAGCAGCCACGAGACGCTAACAACAATAAGGCGTCGCCATCGCTTTCGGTTGTAGATGAACTCTACCAAGTCAGCAATAAAGTTTATTGTCTCGGGTAATGATTTGTTTTTGCACTCCCGTAGCGCCGAGGAGAAGCCGTGCTCGTCGACAGCTGCAGCAGAAACGTAAGTGTAGAGTCCGCAAACTTTTTTGTGCTTCTATGAACTAATCCCTGAATATGAAACCTCTTTATGTGCATGTCTTCCCTCCTCACAGCTCCGGTGACGTTATGGAGGAGGCTAAAAAGCTGATCGGCACGGGCAAACGGCATCTGGTGATGGGAGATGTAGTTTCTGCCGTCAATGTCTTCCAGGAAGCCTGCAGCATGCTGTAAGTCTGCATAGCAAAACGCGTTCAAATAAATATGCATGCTGAAATGTATATAATATCACCTGGCAGTTAGTGCAGCTAACTGATTTTAGAGTAAGTATTGTTACAATTTCTGTAATTTTCACCTCATTTGTTCTTCTGCAGGGCTGCAAAGTATGGGGACACAGCAGATGAATGTGGTGAAGCCTTCTTCCTTTGTGGGAAGTCTCTGTTGGAGCTTGCAAGGTTTATTATTATTATTACATACTACAAATATCTAAAGGACTACATTGAACTTTTTTTTGCACATTTTGTTATGTTTCAAAGCATTTAATCTCAACACTTCTATTTGATTTATCACAATATTAGAAGAACTTCCTTTTTTTCCTTTTGGTGAATAAGTTGAATGTATCTAATAAGGATGCACTGATATGAAATTTTGCCCGATAGTTTATAAATTTCCCAACGGTTTCAATACCTTGAAAATAAAAATAATCACACTTCAGTTAAAAACCCCACATTGTTACACTGAATCACTTCCACAAACAACAATATGTCAAACACTGGTTACCAATGTTTTTCTTATCAAACTGATATGTTGAAGTGCTAACATGATCCTATACCATTGTTGATGCAAATATGTTGCATATTTAATGGTGCTAACTGTTTTTAAGAGATTAGGTGTTGCTAATCTCATTGAGTATCTGAAAGGAAAAATGTCTTTGTGTTGTAGCTAAGAAGCAGAAATTAATTTTTTAAAGCGTTAACATGCTGATGCTAATTTCGGACAGATCTGTCTCGTCTTCAAGAACTCCCTAAATTATAATAAAATGTTTCAATACTCAGAAAATTTAAGTCCCAACGGTAAAACTGATATTACAACCAACTTAAGGCTCAGTTATTCTGATCTCTGCATGGCTTAGTGGATGGAGTCTATATAAATGAAAACAAATTAAACTTATTTGCTGAAATAACTTTTATTTATGACTCTACTGCTCCGTCTCTGAATGTCAGCAAACTTTTATGCTTTTTGCATGATTTCTCGATCAAGTAGGAAACGGATGAAGTCCAGTTTGGGTTGCATCAAACTGTTTTTGAATTTTAAAAAAACCATAACTTGCAAGTAAAGTTTGGTGACATCTCTTGGTACTACGTGTCTGACAGTTCTGCAGTTCATAGTTAACTTCTAAATGTAACTTCCTGGTGTGCATTTCTAATCTAATCGTGTTTTGTGAACCAGGATGGAGAACGGTGTCCTTGGCAACGCCCTGGAGGGAGTCCCAGAAGAATCTGAGGAAGAGGAGCAGCCCAAAAACCCAAACCTGGAGAGTGCAGACAACATTGATGGTCAGTTTACTTCACTGTCATTTTGATCCATGAGCTTAAGTCATTCATTTCTAAAATGTTTTCGCAAAGAGTAATCAGGTGTCTGACTTAAACTGATCTTTTCTGTACATTTCTGCTGAGATAATGTCTAGAAATCAAATGTTTACCACTCTGGTGCAGAGAAAACTAGAGAAGAGCTGCGAAAGCAGGTCTATGATGCAATGGCAGAGAAGGAAAAGATGAAGGTAGAGCCTAAAGAGGAGGTGAAAAATGAAAACGCCGAGTCAGAGGAGCCTGAGGCAGGAGAAACCTCAGCTTCTCCTGAGGTTGGAGAGGAGGAAAGTTCTGTCCAAGCAGCCGAAGAGGTCAGAGACGCTTCAGCACAAACTGTGAATGAAGAGGAGGATGAAGGAATTGAAGAATCAAGTGCAGAGGCTGAGCAGACTGACACTTCAGAGGGTAGTAGCTGTTTAGAGACAAAGCACTGGTGTTTTAAACCTTTTATGTGAAAACATCCCACATGGTGAGCGGAAGGGAGACACTGGTGTGAGGCGCGGAAACTCTTTGGTTTTTATGCTTTTCTGAAACCGTTTCAAATCTTGTAAATCCTTTAACTTGT